CACTTCATCTCTCCTGGGCTGTGCTGGCGACAGGGTGGGACACAGGGCAAGCCCCTGCCTTGGGGGCCTGGGCAGTGAGTCACCCAGAAAGAACAAAGAACAGCGAAGCCAGTGGCCATGCGTGGGGACCAAGGACTGAGGCGGCTGGAGATGGGGGGGCGGCTGGATTCTGGCTACTTCCCTCCAGGCGGGGGGTGGGCACCTCACAGCTAAAATGACCTGGAGTTCACTTTTGCAGAGAGCTATCGCTGCAGAGTTGAGAAGGGACCGTGGGCAGGAGAGCAGGAGCGAAATACAGCTGGGAGGAGGTTCTGTTAGGGTGGGAGGGCCCAGGGCCAGGGGCTGGGAACAGACTGCTGGGGTGGGGGAGGGGAGGGGCAGGGGTCCTGGGGGCAGCAGAGGAAGCACTGTTAGACATCCAAGGAGGGAGGCTGCCGGCCCGCGCAGGGGTCAGGCTGGAATTGGATTCTTCCTGCGTGTTCTCCCACCCTCACCCAGAGTGGTTTGTGCTGACTCTTCCCACTCACCCCTGGACTTTCTGTATCAGCCACACCCCTGCCGCGAACCAGCCAGATTCAGATGCTTGTCACACCAGGCAGCCTGGGCCTCTGGCACTGTGGTGGCATTCAGTGCAACTCGTGAGAGAAGCGCAGCTTCAGGTTCCCGACACCAGTCCTGCCTCCTTCGCCACCTCCACATCCTCCCTGTCCCGGGGCGAGACTGTTCCCCTGGAGCCCCCTCTCGCCCCCTCTCTTCTGAGACCAGCACGTGCTGCCTGGAGGATACACCAACCCCGCCCCCCACCTATGACCAACATGGCTCAGACTCTGATCCCCTTATACAGGTGACCCAAGGGCAGAGGCTCTGTGCAACCAAGAGAAATCTACACCTGTTCCCTGGGTGTCTGAGACTAGTCACATCCTCTGAATGACCTGCCCTCACGAGTAATCCTGACATTTCCAATACAGATGAGACAGGACCCTTACGTAGGCACCTCTTTAAAAATCCACAATTCCTACCATCATGACTTAGTCTACCTTTATTGCTCTTGCTGTATTATAAAGTTTTAATTTATTTATCTGTTTTGTTTTCTAATCACTGATCCTCAGGTTTCAGTCCAAACAACTGCTAGGGAGCCTTCGCTCCCCCAGCCGGTTTCCAGAATCTTCCAGGAGAAGCACAGACCCAAGCTGGTGCTTTAATTGGGTAACAAAGAGATGAGGACAGTTGTCTTCTTTTGCCCTCACAAAAGGTTTTAGATCTCTCCTGATGTGGAATGTAAATCCTACACTGGCCATCTTACACAGCCAGGAGCTCGAGGGCTCAAAGAATCCTGGGAACGTGGATTCACAGGCGTGAAGATTTCCTCCAGGAAGATTGAATGAACACTATTTGATAACGCAACAAACTGATGATAATCAACAACATGTTAGAATTTAAAATAAATGAAAGAGTGGAATTGGAATGTTCCTGAGACAGAGAAATGACAAATGACTTAGGTGATGGATACCCCCAAATACCCTGATTGGATTAATTCCCATTGTACCAAAACATTACATGTACCCTATAAAGATACACAACTATTATACACCCATAATAAATAAAAATAATTTTTTTAATTTAAAAAATAAAACCAACATTCCAAGACAAACTACCGCCGAGGAGGTTGAATTTTATATTTTCTAAATGATCCTTCACAAGTCAAATAAGAAACGGGAGTCCCCTGCATTGATCAACCAGTTAAGCGCCACAGATGACAGAAAACAGCTCCTGAGTCGAAGAGCATCGGCTTCTGACTGGCCACAGACAAAAAGCCTCCCAGCCCTTGGGAACAAATCCAGGCAATTTAGCCTGGCAACCATAGATGGCTGAGCTGGAGGGACACTGGCAATCGGATCGATGCCAATGGATGCCTCTCTGCCAAAAGGACACTGTCCAGTGAGAGTAACTGGATCCAGATGAAGGTCATCCCCCACTGCTCACTGGGATGAAGACACAAGATACAGCATAGTGGGAACCCCAACAAAGGAGGGCCACGGATGCTTTATGTCCTTTGAAGCTCTAGGTGTAAAAACAACAAGCTCCAAAACCAGCCTCTCTTCTCGGTCTTTCAGCTGCTGGTCAGCACGACTGGCAGAGAACTGGCTGATGACACCCCCAGTATACCTTTATGATTACCTCGAACGTGTGCCGGGACTGCTGCCTAAGAACCGGAAGGAACCCTGAACTAGAGGCCCAGGGACACACATACCTGGTGTGTCCCTGGTCTACAATGAGCCCACATCTGAACACGCCACTGGGGAAATACCAGCCAGCAGCCAGTGGGCATGGAACCAGGTTGATTATTCAGAGCCCTCTGCTAACAAGCTCCAAGTCTGGTTCCTTGTAAAGCACTGTCACACTCACTGGGTCAAAAATAACCTCATCAAAAATGAAAGATGGTCGAACTGCCACAAGACACCAGGCTAGGATGTTTCAAAACTGGAGGGAGCCAGAGACCACCAAATGTAATCAAGGCTCAGGGTGGTCTATGCAAAGTTGGCCGCCAGGTGGGGTGGCAGGAATGCAGGAAGATGGCTGGCATTTACAAATAGTTTCTTCCCCAGGTCCCCCTGTCTCTGATGAGATAGAATGCATCCAATCCTAAAAGAGGACTGCATAACTACTTGATTGTGACTGTTCCGAAAGGG